CCGATCTTGGATACGTGTACACGCACACCACGGTAAGCTTCGTTTTATCTTACACAGTGCATTGTTTAGTAATTTATAAATTAATGCTTAATTACACGAATATTTAAAATTTATTTCAGAACCGATTATGGAGAAAGACACGTAAGCCGTACTCATTCAATTGTTATGGCAGTGACCCTAACAGAAACTGGGGCTACAAATGGAATAGTAAGAATTTGTGTTATGTGTTAGCGTTTTTGTGTATGTGCGTTAGAAAACTGTAATAGCCAAATTTAAATATTTAATAAATAGTTGAAATTATTGTAGACTTCAAAGAGCTTATGAAATTAATTCGCTCAATGTTTCTCAATATTATTTATAAATATTTATATATAATTTGAAATTTTTAGGTGGTGGCACCAGCACTTTCCCATGCTCTGAAACTTACCACGGAAGTGCGCCGTTCTCCGAGGTTGAGACAAAGAGCATGTCCGAATATATCGGTACCATTGCCAACAAAATCTACGCGTACCTCGCGTTCCACAGCTACTCGCAACTATTGCTGTTACCGTATGGTCACACAAAGGATCACCTTGATAACTACGATGATCTGGTAAGTAATTTTAGTCGTAAAATAAATATATTATAGCTTTGAGAAATTCATGATAAAATAATTCTGTGTATAAATAATACTAAATTAATAAAATAATTATTACTTCCCCTATAGTATTATTGTTGTTACTATATTTATCAGTGGAGCAGTACAAATCATCAAATAAATTATGAGCTAATACAAACATAATTATACATATATGATACATTGGGAGAAAATTTCTTTCTAGGAGTTTTTCTACAATTCAGATTGATTATTAATGTTATTTTTACAACGAAACAAATTTGAAGCAGTTCACGTTTATCATTTTCTTATTATTAGCATATTTATTTATAAGAAATAATAGTAGATTATTCAAAAACATAGTTTATATAATTTTTATTATTTTCCAGTATGATATCGGTATGAAATCGATGACAGCTCTTAAAAAGAGATATGGAACTCAATATAAGGTCGGGAATATTGCTGAAGCAATCTGTACGTAAAAATTTTATTTATATTGTCTTCTCCCTCTCTCTCTCTCTCTCTC